ACTTATGTGAAAAGTGTTTGCATCAGTTTATAAAAGAATCCAATAGCATATAGTTAATCAGGTGGCACGGGTAGGGTAATGGAAAATGGAATCGCCGGGATGGGAGGGGGAGGATTGAGTTCAAGTTCCAGGTTGAGTCTGTTGCATCCACTTTTGAACTCTGAATTCCAAAATATGGAGACGGCGAGAGGAAACCACTCAACTATATTTCCCAAGAATGCATGACAGTTCGTAGATAATAAAGAAAGGGAATCAGTGGAGAGTCATGATCACTTATATTCTGAATGGACATGACATTTTAAATAGCAGCGTATACTGTAATAACAATCCTTGAATGCCAACCAGTCTAAGAGAAGAAAAACTCTGAATTCCAAAATATGGAGACGGCGAGAGGAAACTATCTTTCCCAAGAATTTATGAAAGTTCATAGATATTAAAGGAAAGGAATCAGTGGAGTGTCATAATCGCTTATATCCTGAATGGATATTTTTTATGGTTTATTGTTCGGAAAATTAATCTTGGGTTAAGTTTTGTTGGATCGAGACGGTGAGGTTTGATTACTCTCGTCATTAGTACAATTTTTGTAACCATTACAGACAAACGCGGTACATTATATTCAGTAAGAAATACCGTTTAAATATGAAAATATCTTCAACAAACGTATTTTATTCTGGCGTAGATCGACAATAATAGAAAATTTCTACACTAGCGAATCACTTAGAGAGAGACTAACTTACGATAGATCTTTTATACGGGAGGCTCAAAATACCGTCAACCATGCATAATTTTCACATAGTGGTTGAACCAAGTGCAGAGAACACTCAGGATAAGCTCAATTCAGTTATAATAGTCTGTAGGACTATATATTTAGAAAAATAGTATAATAAATTGGAAAAAAAGTTTTTGTGACTTAGATTATTTATTATTGTAAAATATACAAGTAAGTGTAGCTTCATCCGTTTCAACCGTTAGTATTTCATCAGACTGGGCTTTGTTGATATTGCCACGTACACATGCGCACGATATATATATATATATATATATATATATATATATATATATATAGTGTAACCCGGATATAAAGAGAGTTGTCGGGACCGGAGAAAAGTCTCTTATATCCGGGTTTTGGTCTATTATATATACATTAACACAGGCTCTAATTTGGAACCAGAGAAAAAATCTCTTATATCCGGGTTTCTCTTATATCCGGGTTACACTATATATACATAAATATGTTAGCTCTATCTCTGATATTGAGCGCTTTTAAGTAAGCGGGCATATAATATATAAATAATTATACATATATATATTTATTTATATTTATATACACTTTTCACACACACACACACACACACACACACACACACACACACACACACACACACACACACACATACACATACATACATATATATATATATAGTAGAATAGTTCGAACTTGGAACCTCAATCTCTGTGCTTCATTTTTATCACCTGGTTAATATTAATATATTAATATTAATATATTTGTTTTTCGTACTGATTTCATCGGTACCCTTTCGTTTGACTTTATTGACCAACTTATCTACTCTACTTTATAAACTCTATGAAGCATACGTGGACTCTTTTTTTTCTAATTTTATATATTAATATATACATTTCACTCTAAACAAGGTGATAATGCCACTATTGCGTTACAGGAAATGGAAGAGGGTGATCAGAAAAAAACAAAAAAACAATTAAGGAACAGGATTCGGAAAGACATTGCATTTAAATTTTTGAAGATTGTAAGTGTCAGGGAAGCCAGTCACGGGAAGATTTCAATAGGCGAGGATTTCATAAATATGTATATTTGTAGACGAATCTTTTTGTAATCGTTCGCGCCATTCGTCAAGATGTTTCACCAATTAACTGGTTTTATCATGTTTGTTATTTTTACTTTTAAAATGTCTAATTTTAAAGTCCTTTTAATTGTGACTATAACTATATAAAAATGTCTCTATAAATTTAATCCCAAGCTGCTTAAATTTATTGCAGAAAACAAAAAAACCCTCCCAAGATTAATAAATGTAATAAATGTGGAAATCCATCCCTTTCTTTTACAACTGCGTAGTCTTTAATGTCTTCACCAGCTTTCGTTTACCTCAACCGAAAAAAACAAAAAAGCATAGGAGTGCGTGATCTTACCAGAAGAAAAGAGCTTTATTTTAATTTCTAAAAAGTAAATATTTGAATAACAATAGTGTTGCGGGAATGTTTGTTGTGTTTATGTAGAAAACACGCGTCTCCTGGTATTATTTTTCCCATAAAAATTATTGCGGATTCGAATGTGAGTCCGAGTAATAAATGTTAACATAAAACAATATAAAACAAACGACAATGTATGCATTAACAGAAGTATTACAATTACAATAAACGAAGAATACGTATAAAGACTAGTTCCATAAAGCGTTTAAATTAGAGAATGTGTGTGTGTGTGTGTGTGAAGCTTTTGTAGGTCTGCGTGATAGACACGTGTGTGAAAGAGTACAAAAAATCACGAGAGAAATGTAAGGCACTGAAACATTGCGGAACACTTTTTTTTCTCGTGCGACTACATCACATTTTACAGCCAGAGTTGTAAAAGAGGAAAGGACATTTGCCAACCGCTCCACGCGGTCAGATGTGGCACAAGGCCGAATTTAACGTGGGGGGTCCGAGCCCGTAGGCTCGGGCAAAAATTCCCCGTAGATCCCGTAAAAAACGGGGTCGGGTAGCTGTCTATTACCCCAGACGAGACTCTGCCCTTCGGCAGAGCCTCGTCTGGGTTCCTCTCCGCCCTTCGGCTGAGAGTTCGACCAGCTTAGCTGGAGACAAATCTCCAACTAATTGTCGAAGCAAGAAAGAGAATGAGTGAGAATATCATTGTCTATTTATAGGCTTAAGGCGCGTCCCCTAGCGCCGTTTTTTTTTGTTTTTTTTTTTAGGAAAGTCAAATGGGATAATCCACAAAGTTAACGAGGAATTGTGCAATTTTGTTTAATAGACTTTTCTGCAAAAACAATAAATTTGCTTAATTTCAAAAGGATGAACCGAAATAATTCCTGCAAGATCGTTTCCTTTCAAAACTTGTTACACTGAGCAATATTTTTCAGGTTTCTTTAAAAGAAGAAAAAAAGGTTAAACTATAGGAATGTCCGATTCGTTTACTGACCCATACCAGAAACAATTGGCTGTCTTAATTACTAAGACATGCTCTGGAAAACCCAACCAAGTTGACTGTCAGTTTGCTTAAGGCATACTTGGGGCTTTCTATTAACGCGTCCCTCTGTGTGAGCTGTATGACGAAGCAATAAGCGGAAATTAAAAAGTACACATGCGCACAGAAGTTAGAAAGCGTGTGATGCAGACAGACACCCCGTTCACCAAAACGATTGGCTGGAACTCGTTTGCTAAGTAAATTTTCCACAGTACACAAATTACAAGCTCAAATAACTTCCAATATTTGCACAAGAAAACGCATTAAGTGGGACTTGTGTACGCTTGAGCATTTATGCCTGCCTAATGTGTGTGAGTGCGTGTGCTATAGGTACAAGTTTAGTAGTACTACCTCTACTGGTCTAACTTTAGTTTAATCTGACAAAAAATCGACTGTTTTATTTCTATTTCTTTCTTTCTATCAATCTTTGCTTTCTATACAAGCCCTGTCGTCTAAACATTTTTAATCTACCCAACATGTGATTAAAAGTTTTATTTACATTTTTTATAAGTAACTCAGATTTGATTCAATTTTAAGCAACTCCACTACTTACATCAGTGTAGCTTAAGCAACCTAAAAAAGTTAAAATAAAAATCGTTACTTAAACAAAAAAGTTACTAAATATGTTATTTTATACTGTAAAGATTTCTACCAATTCTACTCTTTTAGTTATATAGAAATGTCTTTATTTTCTATTTATTAGACCCAAACATAAAAATAGATGTGGTCAGTTGTCACTGTCCACATTGTTTTGTACACAAATTTGACTAAATTTTAATCAACTCCAATACTGATGCCAGTATGGCTTAAGCAATTCAAAAAGTAGAAAGAAAAATAAAAAATAAAAATGCAAAAAGGGTTACTAAATATGAAAAAAGAAAAAGAATGCTGAACTGCTATGCAATATATGGTCTTCTATATGACAGTGAATATGAACAATTTCTTCGTAGATGAAGAATAGATCTGACACGACACTGATGTGGTTCTACCAAAGAATGCTCAGAATATCATGAACAGAACATGTAAGCAATGAGGAAGTCATAAGAAAAATAGGAACCATAATGTAGTTTAGGTTTACAGACATCTGAAATCCGAAGATACATAGGCATATTGAAAGATGACTTCTAGAAAATAAGCAAATTATTAAGACATAAAAATGAACTGCTACGCAATACTTAATATTCTCTATGGGAGTGAATTCCCAACAATCTTTTCAAAGAGGAACAAGAGACTTGCAGCGACAGAGATGTGGATCTACCAGTGAACAATACAATGAATTAATCATGTGAGCAATGGAGAAGTCTTAAGGAAAATTAAAAAAAAAATACTAAGAAAAATCTACTTGCAATTTGAAAGAGGTAGATGAAATTTCTGGAACATATAATGAGGAAAGAAGACTTGAAGAAATTAGCACTCACAAGGTTTACTGAAGCCAAGAGCCGCAAAGGTAAAAACATGTAGCTTCTTTAACGAGCTTGTGTTAATGGAAGGCACAGCAAGAGTAAAGGGGTTAACGAGACAAAAGTGATTTAGAGCAACGAAAGCTGTGGAGATCTATGGCCGTTCACGTATTAAAAGGACTTGGCAGATGAAGTAAAAAGAATGAAATTCCGAAGAAAAAAAAATATCTCAGAAGTTATAAGTTAAAACGGTTTCCTCAAAGTAAGAAAACATTAAACAAACAAATAAGGTTCTTTATTTTCTGGTGGAAAGAGCTGTGTGAAATGCCAGGTGAGGTTTGACAGTTGAGCAGTGTGTTCAAATTCCCCGAACTTTTGAACAGCATCTCTCATTTCGACTACCGACCCCTGACTACTCCATCGTTTTGCTCTTTCCCTTCAAGCAACACCAGTACTCGCCGCCCCAACGACTGTCCGACAAAACTTTCGACAGGTCAATATTTTCCCTATGACTCAGTTCCATCATTATTCCCGACCCACGATCGGCTGTATAGTGGGCACTCATGCAGGCAGGTCTGCGATTGTCCAGTCAAAGATTATTTTGCTTCCAGACATACACACGGACTGCGTCATTGTAGACAAGGCAGCAGCAGAACAAAAGTGATTGTGTTTTGACTATCGCAATGGCACACCTGTCATTAGTGGCATATGATTTATGGAACTCAGAGGTATAAGGTGAGTCAGGATTGAGGGTTTGGAGTAATTGTAGAAGGGAGACTGTAAAAGGATTTGTTCTAAACCCACCCTATCTAACCAGTCTCTTGTATTCAACCCAATACTCACGATTATCTCAGTGCCATGGTGGTAACCAGAACCACACCCATTAAGATCGAAAGTAATTTGTTCATTGAATTAATGAGACCCACCCACCTATAATTTCTTTTACCATTTCGAATAATTTTAGTTTTCCCTTTTCTTTCTTTTCTTTTTCTTTTTACATTTCTTTTTCTATCATCACCATCTCTCTCTCTCTTTTTACGTCCTTTTTTCTCTCTATTTCTTGACCTTTCTCTCTTTTTTTCTCTCACTTTTCTTTTATCCTCGTCGATCTTTATTTTTTCTCTTTCTTTCTTCACCTTTCTCCATTTCTCTATTACCTCCTCTTCATTCTTTGTCTTTCTTTCTATTCGTCATTCTTTTCTTTCCTCTTATGTTTTTTTTTTCATATCTCTTTTTATTTTTATTTTTCTTCCGTTTTTATTTAATTTATTTAAAGCTCTATAGCATTGGATCCTATGGCAATTCATAGATAATATAGAAAAAGAATCTATAGCGGTTCGATTTAGTGCAAAAAGGGAGGTGCTGCTACAAAGTTAGGATCCACGAGACCAGGCTCTTCTCATTACAAAACAGTGAATTCCCCGAAGGTTGAAAATGGGTGGGGAAATAAAGATTTCAATTTTCACGCGCACACTTCATCTTTTCTGTGTGCTGTGTTCCTCCAGTACATGGTAATCATAGCTCTCCGCAACATCCTATTAACTTCTACGTCTAAACAATATTTGCTCTTTTGCCATCCTTCACGCCTCATGTTCCGCCATCCAACCACACAAGCTCGTCAGGTAGGTGGCCTGCTGCCTTCCCATCTCTCTTGGCCTTGATATCTCCAGTGAGTGTCAAATTCTCCAATTCTTCCTTCCTCATTATGTGTTCCTTAATTTCAGCTGTCTCTTTCTGATTCTGTGTATAATTGTCCATTTTATTTCCATTTTCCTTAAGACTTTATCGTTGCTTACGCGTTTCATCATCAGCATCCTTCTGTAGAACCAAATTGCTGTTGCCTCCAGTTCTCTCTTCATCTGCGAGGAAATTTTCTAGCGTTCACTACCATATTGGAGGATTGATATTACATAACAGGTCAGCATTATTTTCGTTGTTTCTAACAAAATTGTACGGTTTCTTGATACTTTGCATAGCTTTTGGAATGCATCGGATTTCGGTGTCATAGTTTGCAGCTAAAAGAATAGGGCTACTGTTAAAATGCTTCTCTGAAAGAAAAAAATAAGTGAAAATAAATCAACCATTTTATGACTTTCCCTATTTTTCAGTGAAATCCTTAATTTAGTTACTTTGCCAATTCTTTTAGCGAAATCTGTTTTCAATAAAAATTGCGTTTCTTTTCTGTTTTAGAAGCTAGCAAACAAACTTAAGCAGAAACAATAGTACAAGACAATGTTAATGGCGCCATCTATACTTCATTGCAACAATCTTGAGAGACAATGCGTTTACATGAGCCGCCAGAAATTAACGTATTTTTACGTACACAGCGCAAATTCAATGATGCGTCTATTTATTTATCCTAAAAAATTCATTTTGTGTTCTAGAACCTTTAAAAAATTTTACTCTGGTAGCTTCTGTAGGAAAAAATATATAAAGAAACGCCATTTCACTGACGAATGGACAATTTAAAAAAATACAAAAACTAAAACGCTGAAAATAAAACTGTTTGTGAAGATGATTAAAGTCGTATCGAAGATTCCAGGGACGACAATGAAAACGAAGACAGCATAAATATTTAAATTAGCAAAATAAAGTAAACTCAACAACAGTGAGAAATAAAAAAAAAAAAAAACTATTCTGCAGTTATTTTTTTCCTATTGTGAAAAGATACAAAAAATAATACTTCTCACCCTAGGTTTTTGTCCATAGCCGATTGTCTTGGTTAAACAGGCAGATTTTGTTGAAATATTTATGAATAAAAGAATGATTTTCGAGGGAAAGGCAACTTTAAAACGTGCAATAATATATATATATATATATATATATATATATATATATATATATATATATATTATTGAAAAAAAGTTTACTTGTGACGCGTTTCTTCCTTCAGGACTTCATCGGACTAAATTTCTTATGTTGGATGCGCACGGTAGAGAGGTGATAGGAATTTTAGAATTTTTTTTTATCATTCGAATTTATTTACAGTCTTTTTTCTTTTTCTTTCCATCACTTTTGTAAGTATGTATTAACACTGTGGTATTAGCAGATCTGCCAGGAATACTAAAATGTTGTAAGAGCAAATTTACTGCGATTAAGACGCTCTCTAGACATCTAAATGTAAGTGAATTATTTTTCTCCTTTGATCATTGTAGCATTTTTTTATGTTAAAGTTGTGGCCAGTCGCATTACGCTGGGCAACCAACGCATTCAATGTATTATTTTGTAAAATGTCCCTTTTGTGTTCAACATAAATTTAACCGATGAAGTCCTGAAGGACGAAACGCATCATAAGTAAATTTTTTCCATTTTGTCATACAATTTCCCCAATACTGTTCTTGATATATAAAAATATATATCGTTGTCTCATATATATATATATATATATATATATATATATATATTATTATTTATTGACACAAAATAATGCAAAAGAATAGATGTTTTAAATGTTTTTTTCTCTTAGTAATAAGAACAATTCGAAAATATAGAAAAACCAAGAACAACATCTATTCTATATTTGAAGATGTTTGTAAGGAACAGACGAAAGCTTTAGTAAAAAATAACAACTAATGGCAGAAATTTTATAAACAAGGATCAATTCATTCATAACGGATCTGGAGGTTTTTGTATACTATTTGAATTGTTTGCGATGATGGACAACGAAAATATAGAAAAAATTTTAAATCATTAACCTTTGCATTAGTTTTGTGTGAATAATTCATGTATTTGTAAATTGATTGCACGTTTATTGTAATATATATATATATAGTGAATGGAAAATGCGCTTCTACAGCCATAAAGTGAGTCTGAGAAACAGAAAATACAAAGTTAGCACCGCCATTATCTGTCTTCTATTGGGACGTCATTAGCAACGAGCTTCATATGCCATCGGTCTGGCCTACGCCCTGGAGAAGACACTCCAGTCTCATCACAAAAGGGATTGAATAAGATCAATGGATGCCATCTATATATATATCTTCATCGTCAAATTTCTGGTTTTGAATTCAAGGGATCCTAGACCGATTGCTAACTAAAGCTAGAGAGCCCAGTCTGCTCTGCTATTTAACCCATAGCTGGGACATATATATATCCGCGCGCACGCACAAAAACACATACATAAACACACATACTATGAAATGAAAACAAATCAACCTTATACCAATGAAAATTAAAGAAAATATATATATATATATATATATATATATATATATATATATATATATATATATATATATATATATTATCGAGAGTTATTACAGTATTTCTTTTCGAGTGGGTTGGCAGCCCTAGCTTGTTAAACAATGTAGTCACCCAATACTGGTATCTACCAAGTTTAGCTTCGTCTGGAGCAAATCCACTATATGAATTAACTTCTGGTCAGACTACGTTAGAGTGATAGTTAACAAGGCATCACTCTAAGATAGATATAAGATATCAAAATAAAATAGTTATAACCCTAAAATAGCTCAGTATACAGAATGTGCTTGAGTAAACAGAACTAAGTCAATGTGTCGTAACGTTGAGAAATGATATACAAATTCGTAGATCAAATCAGTACTATTGTCATAGGTTCGAGCCTTACAGCGTGATTTTGTGCTAGACGAAATAAAACTTCGTGACCGAACGTAAAGAGTTTGTATTTTGGTGAATGTTCGTACGTACGTGTATGTATGTATGTATAATTTTCATGGCATCTCCCACAAGTGGGAAGACATAATCTTCTGCGAGAGCTTACGTTGTAGATGTGTTCGCTGAAAATAAAGAAATGAAAAAGAGAACGAGGCAAGAAGTCGCCCAGTATTTATAGTGTAGGGAGAGCGTCCCCTAGTGAACAATTTGGACAATTAAGGAGGAGTTAACTCCGATGCATGGTGTTATTAACTTCCGGTTTGCGCAGAAGAAAAAGCCAAAAGAAATTCATGGGTGTATTATGAAAACACTGATTCAAAAGTACATACTATATTCATCTTCAGAACTAGCATGAATGCGATGATTTCAAAACCCAAGATTCAATAGTCTAATAGGATTACTAAGTTATCAATTACTAAAATTACTAATCGTGTTCATCACTTTATTTTTGACCAATCGCCGAATCTTGGGCAAAAGAATTGCTGCGGTATGAGAAATATTCAAGGGAGACATTTGGTTTTTAATCCAGAGACAATCGGTTTTGTAGAGGCTGACAGCTAAGGAGTGCCATAATGCTTGAATGTCGATCAGAAATGATATCGAGTTACCACATTCAGTTTGATTTTGTAGCATTTTTCAGCGATCTAGTGATAATGTTTTTCAACAACTTGCCTATATTGATGAAACAGGGCTATACCACACTGATCCGGAGAGCAAACAATGCAGTGCAGGAACACGGGTTTTCCACGGCTGAAGAAATTCAAAATCCATCAGAAAAGATCATGGCCATATTTTGAGGGCGGTATTTGATAACTGACTAACTTCAGAAGAGCGAAACAGCTAATGCCGAACATTAATTAA